GGTCTTCTGTTGGGGAGGGAGGAGGGAGAGAGTGGTGAGTGTCATTATGTTAATGATGGTGATGGTTGTGATGATACTGTAATTATTATTATTACTACTACCACTATACTGTTGATACTATTATTACTATTACTCTTACTACTACCATTATTACTACTGCTGCAACTACTACTACTACTACTACTATTACTATTACTACTATTACTACTATTACTATTACTACTACTATTACTATCAATACTACTATTAATGATAATGATGATAAAAATAATTGGTACGTTTGTCATAAGAATAGTGATGTAATAGTCATGATGGTGATGCTGCTGTTGCTGATAATGATGATAGTAATGATGATCATAATAGTAATAATGATAATGATATTCATAATGACAACGATAATATTAACTATAATGATAATAATTATGATAAAGATGAAGATAATGATGATGATGATAGCAATAATAATGATGATGAGAATAATAATAATAATGACAATAATAATACTGATAATGATGATAATGATAATAATAATAATAATAATGATAATAATAAAATAAAAGTAATGATATCCTCTCTCTCCTTCTCTCTCTCTCTCTCTCTCTCTCTCTCTCTCTCTGTCTCTCTCTCCTTCTCCCTCTCTCTCTCTCATTCTCTCTCTCTCTCTCTCTCTCTCTCTCTCTCTCTCTCTCTCTCTCTCTCTCTCTCTCTCTCTCTCTCTGTCAGCCACATCATGAGGTAATCTATAATACTCTTTTCTGACTGACGCGGACATGCTATCTTTTTATTTTTAATTTATCTTTCATCATTTGTTTTCATTTTGTTCAGCGGGAATACAGGCAACATTGGTACTAACGAGAGATAATCATGACAATAATATTATCAACAGCATCAATAATTGTAATGCAGTAACATCTATAACAATATTAACATCAGAACAATAACAGTGACAATAATAATAATAACAGCAACGTGGTGATTATAATGATGATGATGATGATGATGATGATGATGATGATGATGATGATGATGACGATGATGATGATGATGACAATGATGATGATGATGATGATGATGATGATGATGATGATGATGATGATGATGATGATGATGATGATGATGATGATGATGATGATGATGATGATGATAATAATGATAATAATAATAATAATAATAATAATAATAATAATAATAATAATAATAATGATTATGATGATGATGATAATGATAATCATAATGATAAAGATAATAATAATAATAAATCCAGAACGTTGAATTTGCTGGGAAAAACGACCTAACTATGAGCATATGCATGGTTTTAATTATAATCCTAGACATAAACATTTAAATATTTGCAATTATCGAAAATGTCGACCATCGGAACCTACATACACATGGGACAGGCGAAGCGACCGCGGGTATGTATATATATATTTTTTTATCTCTGTTTTTCAAGTTACTGTTTTGTTGTCTTTGTGTTTATTAGTTGTGTAAAATTCACGTGATTTATTCGGCTTGTTTTCTTACTCGTAGTTCGTATATGCCTTTAAGATTTTAATATGTTTTCGTCTTTTTTTCTTTCTTTAATTTTTAGCGTCAAAAATATCCACGCATAACCACGAGTCAGTCTCTTGGTTTTGTGTTTTTTTTTTCCTTGTAGAACATCAAGTACAAATCCTGTCTTTAATCAGGGAAGATTAAACTTATTAAGAAAAGATAAAAATCCAACACCAGCGCCAGATTTTTTACTTTCCGCGAGCATAAAAAAAACTGGAGAAAAAAAATAAAAAAAAAATAAACAAATCTTTGATCTTCAGGATTCCATCATCTTCATAAACCTCCCCAATATTTCTCGGTGTCGCCCTCGTGTCATCAGCTGTTGGCTCTGGGTGTCACTGGACGATGCCAACAGCCCTGCCAACAGCTAGCGGTGATGGCAAGAAGCGAAGGAGCCAAAAGTCCATCACGGTTTTAGCCCCGCGGTCTCTGAAAACCTCCGGCCAACAGACATGGAGATTCGCAGCCCAACTTTAATCTGCGCATGTGGCTTTCCTCTCGTCTTTATTTCCGAGGTTTTCGGAGCCTCTTCTGAAGTCCTGCTTTCGTCCCTCGTTCGTATGGTTTGTCGGGCGGTTTTTCTTTCATTCTTCTTCGTCTTCTGCTTTCATGTCGGTTCTCCCTTTCGGTCGTTTGGTTTTCGTTATCTTGTTCCGTTTTTGGTCGGTCGTTTCTCTTTCTCTCTTTCCCTCTCTGTTTCGGTCTTTCTCCATATCTCCCTTCCTCCCAACCTTTTAACTCCTTTTCCTTCCTCTCCTTCCCTCTAACCTCTCTTTCTCCTACTCTCCCTCCCTCCATCCCTCTAAACCTCTCCCTTCCCCTCTCCCTCCCTCTAACCCTCTCCCTCCCTCTAACCTTCTCCCTTGCCCTCCCTCCTCCCCTCCCTCCCTTTAACCCTCTCTCTTCCCATCCCTCTCCCTTCCCCCCTCCCTCCCTCCCTCCCTCTAATAATTGCCTTACCCCCTCCCTCCCTTCCACCAAACATCATCAGACGGAGAAACATCCAACGAGACCCTCCCGCTACGACCTTCCAAGACCAACTGGCTGACTATGGGGACAAAAGGCCTTTCTTATACATAGGCAAGCGACTGTGAGCATTCCGCTTGCCTGATCAAACGCTTGTCGTATTAAAAGGACGAGATGATGTTCGTATTGATTGCTGCAAGTTTTTGTTTTTATTTTTTGTTTTTTGTTTTTTTTTTTTGTCTTTTTTGACGGGTGTTTTTTTCGTTTTTCGTTTTTTTTTTTTATGTTTTTTGAATTTTAAGTGCGTATGTGTTGGTTATTGGAGGCAAGGGAAGAGGGAGAGAGAGAGAGAGAGAGAGTGAGAGAGAGAGAGAGAGAGAGAGAGAGAGAGAGAGAGAGAGAGAGAGAGAGAGAGAGAAAGAGAGAAGAGAGAAGAGAGAAGAGAGAAGAGAGAAGAGAGAAAGAGAGAGAGAGAGAGAGAGAGAGAGAGAGAGAGAGAGAGAGAGGAAGAGAGATGGAGGGAAGGAGGGAGAGAGAAAGAAAGAGAGAGAAAGAGAAAGAAAGAGAGAGAGAGAGAGAGAGAGAGAGAGAGAGAGAGAGAGAGAGAGAGAGAGAGAGAGAGAGAGAGAGAGAGAGAGGAAGAGAGAGAGAGAGAGAGAGAGAGATAGGGAAAATCTACAGTACGAGTAACATCTGACGTTCACTGTGAAATTATGGTACAAATAGACTTTGATTCCTTTTTGTACATTTTCCTTTCTTTCCTTTTCTCTCCTTTTTCCTCCTCCTCTCTCTCTCTCTCTTACTCCTCCGTCTCTCCTCCCCCCTCCTTGTCTTTCCTTTATCCTCATCCTCTTTTCTTATTCCCTCCCTTTTCCACCTTTCTTTTCTTGCCTCTCCCTACTTCCTCCTTTTTCATCTCTCTTCTCTCTCTCCCTTCCTTCTCTCTCATCACCTTAGCTCTCTTTCCTCCCCTCTTCCCTTTCCGCTTCACCCCTTTCCCCTTACCATGCCTCCTCCTTCTCTCCCCCTCCCCCCCTTTTCGTTCTCCCGTTCTCTCTCCCTCATCTCCTTCCTTCCTCTTCCCTTCCTTTCTCCCCTCCCTCTCCCTCTCCCCCTCCCCCCCTTTTCGTTCTCCCGTTCTCTCTCCCTCATCCCTTTCTTTCCTCTTCCCTTCCTTTCTCCCCTCCCTCTCCCTCCCCCTCTCCCCCTCCCCCATCCCTTCTCCTCTCTTCCCCTTCCACGTTTTCTCCTTTCCCTTTCTCTTCTCTTCTCTTTCTCCTTTTGTCCTTCCTTTCTCCCCTCTTTCACCCTCCTTTCCCCTCCCCATCCCTTCTCTCTCCCTCTTCCTCTCTCCCCCTTCCGCATTTCCCCCTTTCTCTTCCTCTTCCCTCCTCCCCTTTCATAACCCCTCTCTTCCCCTCCTCCTCACCCCAACTCCACCCCCCCCCCCTCTTCTCCTATTTTCCTACCTAGCGCTTTTAATCTCTAAGATAATAATAATGATGATAATAATAACAATAATAATAATGATAATAATAATAATAATAATAATAATAATAATCATAATAATAATAATAACGATAATAATAATAATAATAATAATAATAGTAATAATAATAATAATAATAATGATAATAAAGATAATAATAATAATGATAATAATAATAATAATAATAATAGTAATGATAATAATAATAACATTAATTGTGATAATAATAATAGTAATAATAACATAAAATAGAAGATATTTTATTACCGCCTTTCAGTAATTCCCAATTGTGACAGTTATTTGCAATTCTTGATTGGAATGCGAAATTAATTTTGAATTTGCGTCGGGTTTCTGATGAATTACTGATAAAAACAATAACAATCAATGAAGCAAACAAGGAAAGAAATACATGAAGAAAGACGAAGAAGATGAAGAAGAAGAAGAAGAAGAAGAAGAAGGAAGAGAGAAAAGAAAACAGCATGGTAACAAAAATAATTAAATAAACATGGTAAAGAAAAAAAAAAGAAGAAAAAAATCCCTAGCTGAATTTCTTTATGTTCTTGTTCTTGTGTTTTGTTCTTGTTTCCTTGTTCTTGATGATTATCTTCGTTACTTTGTTCTTGTTTCTTGTTTTGTTTTTCCTTCAGTTTTATTTTCATTCTTATGATTAATTTTTCTTTATTAATTTTCTTGATAAAGTAATGTTTTGGCAGCTTCACATTATTAATCAATGACTTTCAGTATTTAGGGTCATTACGTCATCTAGATTGATGTTAAGAGGGGGAGGGGGGGGAGGGAAAGGGGGTGGGGGGAGGGAAAAGGGGAGGGGGGAGGGGAGGGAAAGGGGGGGAGGGGAGGGAAAGGGGGAGGGGGGAGGGAAAGGGGGAGGGGGGGGAGAGAAAGGGGGAGGGGGGAGAGGAAGAAGGAGGAAAGGTGTATGGGTGGGTGAATGGGAGGGAGGGAGAGAGGGAGGGAGGGAAGGAGGGAGAGA